TTGCTTCCAAGGATTTCAGATCAGAACCAATCATAATCAAAGCAGGTTGGGATGCAAGTAAGATGGAAAGTTCCGATTCTGTGCTTTTAAATGTATGTTTTTTGAGTGAGAGATATATTGGATATAATTTCAGAACGTTGACATTGATTTGTTTTGATTACACTCATTGTTCGCGATTTACTAACATTTTTTCTTTAGTTTCGACAAAACCGTTTTGTGCTAGGAAAAACTTAATCCGTTTTCTCAAAACATTCCTGTACAGTTTAAACACTTTAACGACAAGGTGAAAAGAGCCGTAGTTTTCAACGACATATGTTTTTTACTTCGAGAAGATATGGAACCTTGATTTCAATTGCACTAAATATTTCAGCTGCGGTCATCAATTGGTTTTGCTAGTTGACAATGTGACTTTAGTTTGGACTAAGTTTTAAAATATAACCTTTGAATCTAAAATGTAAGTTCGAAATATTTAAGATTGGTCGTCACTAATACCGCGTTCAAAGTCGTTCCAAAAAAAAATAGGGCAGTTCTCTGTACGATCCAATATAAAAAACTTATATCTGTTTTGTTCCGAGGCATGCTAATTGGACTTTTTGGACCAGGGTTTGCTATATGTGAAATATATTACTGTGTACTTTTCTTAGTGTTTGGGAGGATGATTTTCAAAAAATCTCAAAATTTTCTTTTAATTTTTTTGAAAGCTTTATCAATTCAAGGCTTTTTAAAAGCAAAAGTTCACCATAGACCTTAAAAGCAGTCGGAACATTCAGGGTTTTGTTCTGATACCAGCCGTCTTGTTTTACTTATTTTGGAGGAACAAGTTCGAATTTTCGAAATTTAGAGTTTTCAAAATTTTATTTATCAACAACTAATCGAGAAAAATTAAGGGACTGTTGGAACGTTCGGAGTTTTGTCTTGATGTGAGCAGTTTTGCTTTAAATTGATAACGTAGAATCTGCGTTATGTGACACCTCTACAAATGATTGTGTTAGCTGATGAAATCTTGGTTATTCATGTGTTGAAATTTAGGCTACAATTAGTATTTGAATCTTCCTAATTTCTCTTCTAAAAAATGTGAATAGTTTCTTCGGTTGCAATTGTGCTAGGATTCGAAAGTGTTTTGAGACGGATTTAAAAAAGTTACAGGTAAATTTTTATAATTATTTAACCGATGTACTCATTGTTTACAAGTACTCTTTCAAGTTGATTGCGACTTTTCAGCTGGGTCATGGGTAGGTGCATGCAGACAAGAAGAGTTACCAATTAATTCAAATGGCTTTCAGGATAGCAAATTTTTGTAAACGATAGTTAGTATTTGCATGATTTTGCATTAAGATCTGCAAAAACGTAAATACCAGAGCAAAATGCAAAAAAATTACAGAAACTTCCAGAAAAAATTAGAGATTAACTAAATGTTAGATGCATGCGTACTATCGCGTGAGGTTACCAACGGTTTTCTACCATTAGTTTCTGAGAACAAAATTAAGTTTTGTATTCAAAGATTTTCAATTTTATTGTTACTCGGTTAAGACTCCACTCCTGCTAACTCGTTCTCATTAATTATTGAAGTCGGACGAATTTTATATCAAAAAAAGTCAACCCGGATTGACCCCCATAGAAGCAAAATGCTGCTCATACAATTCCATTGCACAATTTGATGAAAAAATGTATAAATTTGAAATCTCATAAAGAGTTCTGAGAACATTTTTTGCAATTATTTTGATCAATTTCTTTTCTGTCATTTTTGATGCTGCTGTTGTTGTTGTTGTTGAATATGATATACGTCAGCGGGGAATGCTTTTTGGCAATGTCCTCGCTGCCAACGCTAACGTCTCGGTCGGGTATCGGTAAGAAATTCAAGGTCGGAGTTGATGGTTCCTAATAACTCGTGCCTAGTAGCTGCGGTGCCAGGGCAGTCTAGCCAGTGTTCAACAGTGTCTCTTTATTGGTGCATCGTCTACATGAGGGGTCTATCGGCGGATCCATCAGATTCTTGTACGCTGAGAACGCCATGCAGTGGCCTGACCGTAGTCTGGCTAGCAAAACCGCGTCCTTCCTTGTTTTGATAGCCTCCTTGTCTCTCGCTCTGGAATGGTTGGAGTACACGGGCGCAATCCTGTGGTGAGAAGGGTCTCCGTCCTTCATGGTCCTCTTGATACAAGATTTGGCGCAACTCAGTGAGACCGGTTTCGGTTCTTCTTCTCTGGAATTGGCTGCCTCGTTTGCCAACTTATGTGCCATTTCGTTGCCGGGTGTCCGTGTACCCATTGGATGATCGTGTGTGCTCCAGCGCGGTTAAGGGGAGGACCTGATGTTCTCGGTGTCCTTGGAGCTGTTGGAAATGGCCTCAACTAGGGATTGACTGTCTGTGCAAATCATGACGTTTTTGTCCCCTGCTCTCGTATTCGTCTCGGTCCACATCGCTGCTTCCTGCAGGGCTTCTCGCTCTTCTTCGTAAAAGGAGGTTAGGGTGCGTCCTCTGATCTTGATCTCCTGTACCACCTCTGGCTCGCGAGGGTCGCTTGTCGCAACTACAACTGCAGAGTCACCGTCTCTGGTTCCTTCCGCCGCGGAGCCATCCGTGTGGATCACCAACTCAGGGAAGGTGTCGTTGATGGTGTTGACGGCCTTCTCTACACCGTTGTCGCTTCTGTTTTCTCCCATCAGCCTGGGAAAGGCGGTCCACCGTTGTCTCCCTTCTATCCAAGGGGGGCTTCCACACTCAAGACTTCTGTCTTCTTCAACTCCTCTGGTAGCTGATCCGCGGTCCTCTTCGCTTGCTCTCTCCAGTTACTGCGGGCTATACGGTGAGGGGGCCCGGGACGACTCGCCACTTCTCTGGGGTGGTTCTTCGGAGCTCTTTTGACCTTCTCCCAGGAGATCGCTGTCAGTCTCCTGGTAGCAGTCTGGTAGCTCTGCACATTAGCTTCAAGGCGGACTGCTTCAATTGGTGTGGAGCACGCGTGACCAGTCACGCGTCTCAGCGCCTTGTTCTGGGTTCGGTCGAGACGGTCCGTCTGCGTGGAGGAGAGCAATAATTGCCAACCAGGGCCGGCGTAATCCAGAACACTCTTCTGCGTGGCTAAGAAGACCTTTCTGAGGTGCTCCGTCTTCCAGCCAAAGTCCGAAGCACCTAGAACCGCAATCGCCTTGCATCTCGCTTCCACCGTCTTTACTTGTTTTTGAAAAAACAAACGGGCGCTAAATCAAAAAAGAAACTAAGTCTGCTATTTTTTTTTTATAAAGTTTTTTTTCAAGAAATAGCTTAACTAAACTTACCAAAGTTATCACTTTTTGGCTTCATTATTTTTTCCCGAACTTTTCAAAAAACCGAAATAACCGAACTTTTCAAAAAATTTTGTAAGATTTGATAGTAGGCAAAAAGATCAGGAGAGGATTTTTTTTCGGCGACCCTGAAATGCTACGTGTGCTTGAAAAATCCAAGCTTTGGTTGGCTGACGGAACTTTCAAGGTCACCCCGAAAATGTTTTATCAACTTTACTCTATACTCGTTTGTCTTTCGGGAATAGCCCCCGCTTGCATGTATGCGTTCCTGCCCAATAAAACAGAAAAAACCTACCATCGTTTCTTAGAAGCCCTAAGATTACTAGCCCTGATAGTAGACCAGAAAAAGTTTTGCTGGATTTTGAGCAGGCATCTATTCAAGCGTTTAGGAAAAATTTTATAAAGTCCGAGCTGTCAGGATGTTATTTTCATCTTTCACAAAATTATATGAGAAAAATCGCGGAACTCGGATTGAAAAAGGATAACGAAACAAAGCATGAGTTCGCTTTAGCACTTAAATTGTTACCCTCACTGGCTTTTGAAAAAAGAAGAAATAGGAAATTCATACGATAAAATAGTGGAGGAATTCAAATAGTATGCGATTGCACCATAAGCTTGGGAACCGAGGAAAAACCCCCTCCCTACGGCTGGAACTACTATGCATTAACAAAACCTGATCAATTTGCCTTGCGACGATTTGTCGCTTTTCTGATTACGATGAACTGTCGTCTGCGACAAGTCTCGACTGCGACGAGTTCTCGCCATGACTAGTTTTAACTGAGGAGCGCGCTACATGAACATTAAGTTTCGGCTCACAATTTCACAATCCGGAAAAAAATATCCCGATGAAAACGATTTTTTGTAAAGTTATCGAGAATAAAACAAGTTCTTTCTGTTCTGTCCGTACATTTTTTTGATTTTTTAAAAAATTACATTTTTTTCCAGGTCATGAGGAAGGAATTGTGTGTTGCACATTTACTGCAGGTTTATAGTTGGTTACTGCTCGGCTGATGATGTTTATTTCACTCGTTCTCTCCCTTTGTTCACGTCTTTTGTCTTTGTTCACTTGTCGATTGAAGTTATTGAGAGGTGGGCTAGTGGTATTATAACACTTGCCACAAAAGACTGCAGGCGCCTATGCATTTCTGATGACTTTATGCGCCATAAAAGTGACACGCCTTTTGTGAACCTCCAGTTTAGTTTTGAACGCGTTTCGATCGCCTCCTCAAATACCCAATTTTCTACTTGTCTCTCTTTCCTCCGCTCCACCGAGTTTTTTGTCCCCCTTCCTCTAGTCCGACCAGCTGCCTGTTTATGATCGGGAATGTGCAAACGAAACACTTCAATAAAGTTGAATCGTAAAAGCGACAAAAAACATACAATATGTTTTACAATGTCATTTCTCGCATAAATGATCCTTTTAACCAAAGACCGGTTTATAATTATTGCCCCTAATTTACTCCGAACATACAGTTCGTTTCACGCTTGACTTCACTCCCTTTTTGAAACGCAATCAGCTCAACAAAGGGCAAAATTAGACAACAAAAGGCTCCCCTTTTTAAGCTATTTAAATAAATGTCTCAAATTTTTTATCGTAAATTTTTCGACAAAGATCTGTCTAAATTATTTACAACGCAGCCTTTAATTCCGACAATTTCAGCTCAGGATAAATCAAAAGTGTTGCTACATTTTTATTGCACTCTCTAAACGGCTCGATTTCTATTGGCCACTTTTGAACAGGTATTGTAGGACTGATTTATCGCCAGTGAATTGGAGTCATTTTTAATCATTAGATTCCAGTGTCGATTTGAAAAACCAATATTTTACTTGGAAAATTCGTGAAATCAGTTGTTAAAAAACCAGTTAAAATAATTTGCACAAATCAGTAAATTTAATTTCTATATTTGGCTTTTATATGCTGTGTTTTATTAAAGTGAAGGTGTTTTATTTGAGCAAGTTTTAGCAGTTCAATTAAAAATTTTGTTTATTGAATTTAATTTATCCGAGTTGAAAATTCCTGTTTCTGAAAAATCAGAAAAATTAGTTTTCATTTGCCAAAAATGGATCTTCAGAATCACCAGCAAAATCATCCGGCTTTGATGTTGTACAGAAAGTATCTGGACCAGAACTGTAATATGCCAAGGTATGCAAACATTATCTCTAAATTTCAGCACTTTTTAAATTCCATTCTAGTAGAGTGACGTTTAATAAGTGTAGTAGGTGCCGTAAACTCACTTTTTAATATATTTTCATTATTAAATTCAACATTTTTTGTTTATTTAAGAGACTTATAAATCTATACTGACTTGGCTTGCTTTTTGTTTACCAATTTAAATTCTAAACCTTTTAAGTGATTCCAATTTAATTAATCGCTCAATTAGGACTTTGAAGATCCTCCCAAAAAGTATACACGCACCAGCTTATAAGAAAATGCACCTTCTTGAATAATCTGTCGAAAATCTATCCAAACATAAATCAAAATCATCGCCTAGATTTTAATAATCGCCGGCTAAAAAGATAAAACACTTTACTTTGTCAAAAAAGTGTAAAAATCAATTAAAGAAGATATTTTAAATAAAATCTTGAAATCATTTTTTGGTTAATTCCTTTAGTTTTTCAATAAGTTGCAAAAAAAACTCATCCTACTTGGTGAAAAAGTTGAGATAAAAACTTCAAATATCAAAATGGATTTATCACATAGAACTTCCGACCAGTTTCAAAACGGAAAAAATCAACGGTGAGAAATCATTTTGACAAATTTATAAAGGCACCGATTGCCTTTTCGGATGATAAATTAGTAAATTATCATAACTTATTCATACAGTTGAAAAGAGTTAATCAATAATTAACATTATCTAAATTTTTTCTAGGCTTCCAAACTTGTACGACCAAGTCAATCTCGCCTCCCAGGTTCCACCCAACAGTTCCTCCGCGACCACTCTTCTGAGCCAAAATGGAACCCCAATGTCAACAGTTCCGCTTCCCCCTCGTCCCATTCTGGGGGGCTCCATGGCGGGAAACTCGATCTCCTCGACTGGTTTCACCCACCCTGCCTTGGCCTCTCTGAGTCATCAGGCCAGTTTGGCCATGATGGATTTGACCCCTAATACCATTCCGAAGAACATGGGGCAGGCAGCGGGACTAGGACATCATGCCGGATTTCCAGGTTGGAACCGTGGTAGTTTTGAGTGATTTTTTCAACTGCATATTTTGATGTGTTTACTTTGTTATTTTCCTGAATTTAGACCTAAATCTAGTGTAGTTATAACTGAAAACTCTTTATTGTACAAAATTGGTCACGACAAAATATTGGTTTTTTGGAAAAAAAATTTTTTTTACAAGTTTTGGTTTAAGTTGAGTTTTATTCCAGGTGGAAATATTCATCACAATGCACTCGCAGCTATGACTGCAAATTTGAACCCGTCAGCAGCTGCGGCTATGCTTTTCAACCCTATGTTGTTCCAACAAAATCTGAATGGGATGACAAACGGAAACAATAATCCGACTGGATCACTTCCCGCAATATTTGCCGGCGGAGTCTCGGGGATTCCGTCTGCCGACGATCGAGTGAAGTTAGCGACCCTTCAGAACCACTTGTTTTATTTGCAACATCAGCAGCGACAGCAACAGGCGAACCTTTTGGCATCAGCAACGACTTCGATTGTGTCAGAAAAACAAGATGAAGTATCGCCGACTATTCGAAAAACACCTGAAGCGTCAGAAGAGTTACCGGGTGGCAAAACCAGCCCTTATGAGACACCTCATCTAGGTTTAAAGAGGTTAGTTTGTATAAGTATTCTTCTTTTCTTACCAAACATAAATCGGATACTTTTTGTTGCATTTTTTATATTTCATGAAGCTGCGAGAAAAGCAGGAAGTTAAATCTCAGTCGACGAGTAAAACTTACAGCCTTTTGGTTTATTGGTACTTTTAAGTGAATCATTGATAAGCTTTGCGGTTAAGTATTGTCAACATTTGATTGAATAATTTAAATTTGACACTTCCTAACTGCTTAAATTTGATTACAGAACTCTCGATAGCTCCCATAGTTGTGAAATAATTCATCCTTCGGATGCGGAATGCCAGAGAAAAAACAAGGAAGCCAAAATCAGCCCGAAACTGAGCGAGTCCGGTAGTTTTGGCAAAAATGACACTTCCCTTCTTAGTCCAGAAGCATCTGCATCCGGAGAACAGAATTATGCCAGTCAAACACCGGCAATCACGAAATCACCAGGTTTGTTAACCCATTAGCTACATTCTGATTGTTTATTTTGACAACAGCTCTAATTTTATACAGATTTTTATCTGTAAAATCATTACGAAAGGTAATTTTTATCCTGACATAATTTATGCTAATTGCAGGTGGTTCGAGCCGTAATATTCCTGTCACAAAGCCTTAATTTTATGCAGTTTCAGTCTTGTTTTTACAACGGCTAGTTTATAGTATGATTAGATCAATTATTCGCAAAAGACTTAACCACAATCGAGATATTTCATTGAAAGCTTTTTACGACCTCTGTTTTTTAATTGATGAGTTTCAATTGATGTAATTACATGCACAACTGATCTCAGGTTGTTGATCAAGTATATTACAGGTGAATTATTAATCAACATAGCCCAATATCCGGATCGCTACTGGGCATTTTTAATCATTTTGCCGAGCTACGCCATCTGCTCGATATATCCGGCTGCAAATATATCCCTGCAAAAAAATCAAACGAATTTACTGACAAAAAGGAAAGATCATAAAATAAACAAAGCAAATTATCTTTGTGTTTTCTTTACTTTGATGTAGCTTTGAAAAAATAATAAAAATAAGGAACAAAAAACGTCGTGTTTTCATAAGAATTTCCGCATATTTTCTTCCAAACCGACTTTTAGTATATATTTTGACTCATTTAGCATCCAAATTTGATTAATTTGTTGCAAAAAACAAACGTTCAAAAATCTCTTTTTTGTTCTTCAGAGTTGAAAGACATTTTGTGCTGTTTAAAGATTTCTTGTGGTAGTTAAGCCAACGAGAGGATTTGAAGACGTCAAGAGTGTTGTAATCCTGTTGTAATTGAGAATTGAGCCCTATACAAGTTAGATTCCTCATAAATGCACGTTTAATGACCAAGAATCAATAGGTGCAAAGCAGCTATGCTAATTAGTGACTTTGGCCGCTGAGGGCGATAGATCTGGGTGCAAATTGATTCTTAATCTGGCTTCTAACTGATTTGCCCAAATTTATATCCGATGTCCTAACTTAATACCCCCACTTTTCAAACCCCTTCCTAAATCAAAATATCTAACACCTTTCATAGTACTATGCCTATGCTGCTCTTTTCTTTGAAGCTTAAAAAGTATTTTTAAGTAAAATAAGAAAAGTTTAATTTTAAACTTATTTTTTCAGGTCTGGCTTCTGATAATAACTTTGTGGAAGTGATAAGCTTGAAAAATCATAAAGAAAAAATCGAATGTCCGCTGTGCAAAGAGGATATCGAGAAAAGAAATGTTTCTGGCCACCTGATGGAGGAATTCCAAATTCTGCAGAAGAAGTTTCTTAGAAACAAGTAAGCTTTGTTACCATGAATCTTCAAAAATGAATCTGATTCGTTGAAAGGCAAATTGAGTCCCGTCCAAAATTCCAAAATTACGCAGTCTTTTTTCAATTCAAAAATTGGACGCATGTGATTTAATTCGTTACCAAACTTTTTAAATAGTCGGCATTAGGATTTATAGATCCCTTTAACTATTTCCTCCCTCAATTGCAATAGTCGAGGGGGTTTGTTACTTGCTACAAAATTCACACATGATATGCTTAACCCTTGAATTAGTTCCTTATAGGGGGGATTCGCTAGTTGGTATCATATGGAGGGGTGTCGGGGGGGGGGGGGGGTTGTTAAAGAGATCCGGACTCATTTTAAGGGAGCCAATCATTTTGCTATTGGAAACAACGAATCCAAGAAATCCAATTAGTTATTCAACTGGCATTTTGAATTTCATGTTATTGGGTTTGTGGTTTATAAGCTAGTGGCGACCTTTTAAACAAAAACAATCAATTGTCTGCAAATTGCTGACCGACTTATCACTGCCAATTTTTTCGACCTGAAAACCCAAAATATACCTTTTAAGATTCCAGTTGTCAGTTTACCCTCCACAAAACAGCTTCCTTTTTTGAGCTGCTAGTTTGTTGTTATTTAAATTTGTAAAATCTCACCCAAACTGTGCGTAATCGACAAAAATGTCATTCAAAGTTTGGTCAATTATGTTCCGATTAGGTTGACCTTAATTTGCATCTGTTATTAAATTAACACAGAAGTTAAGAATGCTTTCATGCTTGATTAAAAGGGAGCTTGGTTGAATTAGAATGGAACTATTTAATTTGAAACTAGAGTATAAAGAAGTTCCGACCACAGAAAATCTACGCGATTTTGTGTCAAACTTCTAAAACTGTTTAAATTAAGTGTTAAAGTAAACTAAACAACTTTAATCAATCCAATGCAGATGGTAGCCTAAATTGGGGTTTACCTGGGAGCTTCATTTGATGTTCTTCAGCTGTTTTTTAAAATACCAACACCACGTGACAAAACAAGGAAAAGCTAGCAATTATACTAATCGTTTTTTTTTAGAAATGGAAGGAGTGAACAAACGACATCCCAGATCTCAGAGGAAAGACTTCAAACATTTTCGCGAATCCGATCAAATCGACAGGAAAGAATATCATGTCAGTTTTTTCCCATTCTAGTTAAACCTTTGCAATATTTATCTTTTATTTGAAGTTTTGGGTTAAGCTTTAATCAGCATTTCTTATCTTTTTTAAAATTATCTACATACTGTTCAAATTTAAATGCAATTGAAATCTCAAAAATTTAGAAAAAAAACGTGCTTCTTGCTCAAAATAAATAAAGCAATTTTCTTTCAGGTTTGGCTGGCAAGTTGAGACACTTCAAGCATTCGTACCCGTCAATGATAGGAGTAGCAACTGACTCCAAAACATCCACTCGGAACAGCACAGCTCCTGGGAAAACGTCGCCCCGGGAAATATCTTCTTCCCAATTAAGCTCTAGAGCCACCCCTGTGAGCTTCATGAAGGAGGAGGCAGAGGATATTCCTCTCAGCTCACCTTTGATGTCTCCCAGTTCGGTAATCAGAAACAGCCTGGATCACTTTGACAAGTTCTCGACACCAAAGAACCAATTCGATAAGGTAGCTTATTGTTTTCTAATAAACCTCATCGAAAATGCTCATAAAGCATCTAGATCATCATTAAAAAGAGTGAAACAAGCAGAAATAACGCTAAGATATGAACGTTTGGTGTCTTTTCCTGTTGAAAAAAAAATATTTTAACATTTTCAGCCAATAAAGAATACTGCCTGATGCGGAGAGGTTTTCAATGTTTTCAAAGTGGATCAATCTTCTGAAAAAAAAAATGCCAACCCAACTTTTTTCAGGATCTTTCTCCCAATGGAAACAAAAGACTTCTTCTTATCGAGTCAATTCTGAGCAGTGACTCCAATTTTAACGGACTGCAAAAGGAATCCGAAACGAAATTCACAGAAGCTACGAGTTCCGAAATTAGTCCCAAAATCCCGAGTCCCGCTGGATCGTTCCAGGAGCAGTATACACGCGACAATGACGTCATAGAAGGATCATTTAAGCGACTCACTTCGTCAGCCAATGAGATTCAAGTGCGATAAAAATTGACGAGTTAACTGTTTGCGAATAAAATTGCACCTCGCACGCAGTGCAACAATTGCACGTTCATCAAAAGAAGCTGCACTGGCTGAGCACGGATGTAAATTCATGCACTATGCATCAAAATCATCAGATATAATTTGTAATGGCAGAGAGTGTTGGTGGCAGAGGGTGTTGGATATTTATCATAACTATAAATTTTAACCTATTCCATAGTAAAGTTCAAATATTTTCATTTAAGTTTTTTTTTACTTTTAACTAGGTAAAAACTAGACCCAATAGATCACACGACTTCATATATCAAAAAATATATGTTTACAAAATGCAATTGCGCATGCGTTTAAAAAGTTTTCAGACAGAATACACAAAATTGGTTAAAAAACATTATTAGAACTAATTAACAGTGAAATGAGTACATGATTTTTCAACTTTTTGTAACTTTGGTTTTTTAATTTTCTGTCTGTTACTAGGACGTGAAATTTTTTAATGAAAAAATTTTGTATCAAAACAAAATATATTGATATATTTTACTATTTTACACATTTTTTAAAAAACAGGAGGTTTGCATATTTGATTCAAAGGTGATAATGATGCTCAAAAAAAATTTTCTTCGATAAAAAATAAATGAATAAACTGAAATCCAGCAGAGTCAAAAGCCTCATAACAAATTTCGAATCAAATTATTTTCAAAAAGGTGACTCAAATTAAGCTAGCGTTTAGTCGATAGAGAATGGTTATCTTGCAAGATCTTGTAAGTTTTTTGCAAGACCTTTTAAAGTATTACAAAATCTTTCAAAGATTCTTGCAAGATTCTTGCACGATAATCATCCTTGATCGACTAGGGAGCAACTCTGTCTAGGATCACAACTTTTTAAAAGCATTCGCCTTCACAACTTTTTAAAAAATAATTCAATTTGTTTTTTGTTGTTTTGCATTTGGCTCAAAGTATTACTTGACAACCTATTGCTTGGTTTTTGCTTGGTAAGAAAAAAAATTTTATTTAGAACTAATCAAGTTTTTTGTGAAAAAAGTGTCTTGAACTTGCCAAAGTTGTCGGTCACATCTTGTTTTTTTTGTAAATCTTGGTTTTTCTAAACGAATTCCACATGGCTTCCAAATAAAACTGTTCCAAAACAAACATAACGCTTTTGCTCCAACTGTCAGAAATTCCTCTGAGGAACATGGATATCGTTTTGATCGGAAATTTTGATTTTGATTCAACAGCTTTGAAGCACTGATATTCACTGCAGAATCCACTCAAAAATATAACAGTTATGTGCTCGATTGCCATTTGCTGCGCTAAATCAAGTACCACAAAGATCGGTATTTCATTGTGAACTTTTTCTGTCGTCAAAAACTAGTGTTGTTTCAGAATCTTTGAAATAATTTTTATTGGAAAAAACGGAGGATTTTGAATGGAATACAATTCAAGCGGAATACAAATCAAGTGTTCGGTACTTCAAGTGCCTTCTTTTGCCAAAAAAAACTATTACAAATTTTATGAAAGAAAGCCAGAAGTAAAGATTTTTTTTGGAAAATAGCATTATCAGAAACTGATTTTTTTTGTAAATTTTTTGACAATCTTTATCGTGGCGCAAAAAGAGGAGTTCAACGAAAGCCAAGAGTGTGGAAATAATTAAAATTAATCCTATATCAGGAACTTTTAGCAACACTTTTTTTGAAAATTGAAAAACAGAACAAAACAAAACAAACAAAACTCATAAAATGTTTTTTGAAACAACAAAAAATTGTTTAAATTAAAAAAAAAAATCAGGACAAAACTCTGAAAAAAGAGAACTGAAGTAAATATAAAACTTCACGGCCTATATGAAAGCAAACCGCCGCACTAAGAAATAAGCCTGCACCGAAATTAAAAATAAAACAAAATATAAAATTCGGACTAAAACAAAAACTCAAAAATGTTTTTTAATTCAAAACTCAAGAAGTTTGAGTAACATACCAAAATTGACCCCTTTTTAAAGCTTGTTAGTGGTGCTTGATTTTGCGAGAAAAAAAAAGAATTTAAAAATATCTGCAAATATAATTTTGTAAGAAAATTTTTGTGCTCGGAAGCTTTCGTCCTAATTGTACCAAGACAAGGCTTCATACTGGGTGAAACCATTAATCCGGTTGAAGTTTTTGTTTTTCACACTATTTAGAATAATCTTTTTAGCAAAGCAAAAAATGCATATATTTGAGCTGCTACTATTTTTTTGAAAATTGAAGTTAATATCTCACCGTTTGCGCCGTTCTCAGTCAATTTTGAGAAAATGTAAATTATAAAAACTGAATAAGACGAAAAAAGAAACAAAAATATGGAAAATGCGTATTTGTGAAAACAAAACTTGAGAAGAATGTTGTTTCAGCTAGTTAAAAAAATGATTAGGCAAAAAAAACATATATATATATATATATATATATATATATATATTTTGAGTAGCTTTAACTTTTCCTTATGTAGCCTTGTGCCTAGAAAGAGTTTTGCAATCCAGTATTATAACTAATTTTCACGTGAATTTTCTTTTGTTTACAGGGTTCAACTCATGTACTCATTCATCTACTGGTCTTTCTATCAGAAAAACTTAAGCAGACATTTTTTGAGCATTTCAGAGTTTAAGTATCCGTTCAATGCATTTTTTTTCGTTTTTTTTCTACTTTTTCAGTTTAATAGGTTTCGGCTGATATTTTATCAGCTTTGTGGCGGGCCTCAATTTGCTACATACGGTGAGCCAAAAAGTATTTATGTGTGTTTTATGGGGTTGGGAACCTAATAAATGTACGTTTTTCCTTACATTATGCGTTTATTTGAGTTTTTTGTGTCATAAATTTTTTTTTTTGCTCAAGCATGTTGAGCTTTGTTACCACTTGATATTTTTTTGATCCTTGTTATTGTTATTCTGGCGGCGTAGTTCTTTTAAAAACAGCCCTAATCATCGTAAAAACCTTGTAAATTTTTTTCTCGCTTTTTTACTTGATTCTCAAGTAGTGTTGTCCGCTTTGCCTCTATGTGAGAGTCTAAATTTATTTTAAAAAATGTAAAATGCCTAACGCTAACCCTAACCCTAACCCTAATCCTAAACATAACCCCAACCCTAACCCTAACAAGCCTTCATACATGTCATAAGATACCGATCATTTTTGCATAATTTTAGAAAAACACTTCAGTCTTCTATGTGTAATAGATAGTTTTTTGTTCGAATTGAATTACTTCTTATTTTTTGAAAAAAATTCCAGAACTTGATAAAAAAAGTCAATTTTTGAACTCAATATTTAATGGGGGTTACTTATTTCAAAAATCTACATCTAAAGCCGCTTTTTATTCAATGGAACTAAGTTCAAATTGGGTGCACCTTCAATTTTGTTTTCGGTATTATTGGATCATTTTGTTTTACGAAACGGAAAGATCAGATAAAAATTTTAAATAAACAAGCTCCATAGAATATACTTAAACGCCTACGTCATAAAATTACGTTTAAAACATCTGGGAGCTTTGATAAGATGTTTTTAAAATTGCTCAAAAGACCCAAAACTAGTCAGATAAAAAGTAATTCAGTGACTTATTTTACTTTGACTTTTTTCTAATTTTTTGATGTCTAATTCTTTTAAAGTGTGTCTTATTTGTTGATGTCTACCTCCTCTTCCGCCACGATGCGTCAAAAACAAAAGGACACATTTTTCATGTGCAATCTGATCAAGAATTCTGACAAACGAAAAAAAATGAGAAAGATTAAAAAGTTATTTCAAAGCCATTTACAAAACTTGAGATAGGTACATGGTCGACCATTTGATAACTATGAAACCTTACTCCACTATTTGATAAACTTTTAAAAATTTGCCGGAAAGTTTTTTTGATGAGATTAGCGCAGCTTTTCAATGGCAGAGTTTGCTTTCCGCTTAACAAAGGAGCTGAACGGAACATTAAAAGAAATCACAAGTCAAACAAGGGAAAATCAAATTTGAGAGTGAATAATTTTTAAGATTTTTTCCTAGAAAACAAAAAACCTCGACTTATATAAGAGTCTTCACTACGTTCCTTGACTTTCAAAATCAAAAGAATTAAACCAGACGAACACGTTTTCACACTCAAGAATACAGAAATATTTAAATTTAAAAAAACTGTAAATTCAGAAATATAATTTACTCAGCTTCATAATACAAGAGATATAAAGAAGTTATAGCACCATTTAGATTTCATCTCCGAGTTTTCATAATTTCCTTAAATATTGATAGGACTTAGAGCTTTATCAGTTATATTTTAACAAATTACAATGGCGTCGATACTTGATGGAAGAACCAAAGCAGGAAAAATATCCTAGTAATTTTTTACGCGGAAACTGCATTTTGGTGTCCTCAAGAGTCACACACAAACAGAACATTGAGCGGTTGCTCTTTATTATGAACTTTTATGAATAATTATAGTGAAATATTACAATAGCAAAATAAAATTCGCATAAGGTTTTGGATCAGGCTGAATAAACTGCAAAAATCAATTTTAGTGCAAATATTGGGGTTCCGACATATTTGCAAAATTTCATATTTGATATTTTTGAAACTTATTCTATACCAATTTTTTGCACATATCACTACAAATTTAGTCTGAATGACTGACATTTTGAAGGACATTCGAGTGTTGTCTTCTGAAGTGGTTCTTGAGGTGGTCTGACCGTGAGAAGTTCCTGTTGCACACGTGGCATCCGAATGGCTTGTAGCCTGTGTGTTTGCGAATGTGTCTCGTCAACTCGTCAGACCGGGCGAAGCTCCACTCGCATTCAAGCCACGTACATTTGAACGGCCTCTCACCTGAGACAAGACAAGGAGAGCTAAGAATGTTATAATAGGTGCCAAATAGTGGCGTAGGTAAGTTTTTTCGAAAATTTTCTGGCGTAGGCAGGACGACGTGGGAGGTTGGTTGAAGTTTTGTCAATCTTTTTTTGACAAGGCTGAAAAAATTTTGTCGTCCTTTCTTCTAGTGCAGCCGTTTTGAAGTTTTCCACCTCGGAAAAACTATGCTTTGCTATTTTTTTTATGGCAAGCAAACGTTGGAAGAAAATGTCGTTGTGAGCACCTTTGAATGAATTTTTTGCCCTCAAAACAGTGGCGCCAAAAGCTACTTAAAACGTTTTCAGGGTTGGCCAACCACCAGAAGCGACTCTGAAAAGTACAGGTTGCCCTTTGGGACAATTCGGCAACTAATTGAGAGCAAAGGGCGGTCGCAACAATTCAGTTGCCTTCTAATGTTTGACAAAACAAAATAAATATTGTCTAATAAAAAGAAAACTCTTCAACATGCCAAAAATACGAGGAATTACTAGAAAAAATATGATCGGTTCTTTTGAACGAGAAAACTTATAGCATTTGTTTTTCTAGAAAAAGCGAACAACTAGTAGAATTTACCCGTATGTGTTCGCCTGTGCGCTTTCAGATGGGACACTTTCTTGTAGCTCTTGCCACAATTGGGAACTTCACACTCGAATGGGTACTCTTCTTTGTTGTTCGTGACAGGGGGTATGTTGTTCACAGAGGGGAATATCACAGCAGCGGTCATCACCTGCGACTCGCCCAGAGAGCCTTCGTCGGTGTCAACGCACCTTGGTAACGAAAAGCCGGTTAGTGCTACCTACCACATCATCTTAGTTTATAAGTTTTGTTTTTTATTTAAAGTTTTTGAAGTTTTAAGCAGACAACCAGTAATAACAGAGTCCCAGAATTGAAGTTTCGTCGCTAATGTTTCATTTAATAGCTTTTGCAGAAATCTGATCGGTATTCCGATCCGGGTCGAGGAGCTCACTTTATGTTTCGACGTCTCAACCAAAAAGCGGCATGTTTCGACCGTCTCAATCAAATATCGGTATGTTTCGTTCGTGTTCGACAGAAATTCAGTATGCTTCGATCGGGCTCGACCGAACGAATATACTCGACCGTGCTCAACCCAAGCAAGATATTTTTCAACGTTGCTCGATTGAAAAAAAATGTGTTCGACCGAGCTCGACCCGCGCAAGATGTGTTTCGACCGTACTCGGCCGAAATTTGGTATGTTTCAACTTTCAAACCAAATGAGTTATCCGAATATAAACGGTATATAGTATGCTTTTTGGGTAATATCTCATGATGCTTGTTTTTATCGGAATGAAATAATTTGCAATTTAAATGCTTTGTAGAGATAAACTGTTTTTGAGCTATTTTTTTCTATCTTTTGGAATACTGGCTGGCAATTTGAGTAAGAAAAATGTGAAATATGTTGATATTTGAAATAAGTCTTTCTTTTTTACTCGATTGTCCCAAAATACCGATTATCCCGAATTACGGAGGGACAATCGTTATTGTTCGAAAGTGCTCGAGGTTTGTTTCGACCGTGCTCGAGGATTGTTTCGAATCTGTGCTTGACCTAAGCCCCTGTCTCGAAAATTATTTTTCGATTGGTCTCTGACATTCGCTCGACTTTGAAAGTCGAAACATAAACTCCAGCCAAAAGCCGGGGAACACTCTTTTTGAATGAAGACTTACTTTGATGTCGGTTTTGTTCTCAGTTTTTGAAGATGCGCTCGGATTCAAGCTCCAAAAAAACTTTTCGTTGGAAAAAAGTAACTTCTTATCAATTGTACATCGTATGAAGAAAAACAAGATAGCCAAGAGACAGTTGAAAAAAAAAGTCAATGAACCCAAGTAAACAGAAAAAACATGCTTACTTGTTTTTTTTTAAAATCCAATTTTTTTAGTCATATAATTAGATGACCTTAAAAACCTTGCAATTTCTAGAACAGTTTCCGATTTACATTTTTTTGATTTCATGTACCCATTTTGAGAAAACTGGATCAATGGGTAAAATTTTGAGCCGCTAGAAAACTGTTGAAAATTAATGTCGACTATGAAATAACACTAGTAAATAAAATTAAGCGCAAATTCAGGTTTTTTGTCTCTAAAATGCCTGTTGTTAAAGACTTTTTGGACATTATTTCAATAGAATTTTAGTAAATTTTCACAGAGACCAAGAGCAAATGATTAGAGCTTACCTCTACTAAAATATCAATTTTTAGTTTTCCTGACTCACCAATGTAATCCGGGCCTAAAAATGCTAATTTAGTCTAGAATTCATTAAAGGTTTTTTCATTGAAAATTTTGCTGTTCGATAGTGGAGTTTTTTTCAACAAAGGAAATGAACTTAAAACAAAAACGAAAATCACAGCGCGAAAAATCAAATTTCTGCGTGAACAAAGTTAAGGCTTTTTGACAAAAAAGCGTGCAAAAAATCGCCAAACCTGTATAAGAGTATTGACTGCATTCAAGACTCTTCCTCAAAATTGGAAAAATAGCTTCATAAGTGTCACTGACAAATGAACAATTTGCGTAAAAGTTCGGGTAAAATTTGCGATTTGACGTGGTACTGCAGTTTTTCAAAAACTCGGGGCAATTGAACATTGAAGATTAAAATGTAACTTCAGTTTTCCTGGATATTTTGTTGACTAAAACCAGCTTGAATGATTGATTACTTTGACTGCATTTTAACATTTTTGTGAACCCAAGTAATCATTATATCATTGTTTGATTAGTCTCCAAAAAAGATTTTAAAAAAAAGTTTCACGCAATTCCATTTTTTGAGAGGAGGTCAAGTCGTTGCTAGAAAGTTAGAGACTCTTGATTTTTGCGCTTACTTTATTTTGTTCTCTGAACAGAAATTAATTTTAAGAAAACTCGCTGGAAACCATCAAAAGCCATAAGCAAACAAGTTTGTTATCGATTGCAAGCGGGCTTTTGCTTTGACTAAAAACATTACAGTATCGTTCACAAAAAAAATATTTGAACGGTTCCTTTCAAAGGCTCGCTGAAAATTGGTTTTAGAAGTAGTGCTCCTTTAGGGTTAGATAAATTAACTCTAAGTTCAATCGCAAGTTGCGACGATCTTAATTTCTAAGACAACTGAAAGTGTACCATATGTTGCCAAAATCATGAAAGATATACATTAGTCATTATCCTTATGCGGCAAAAATAACAAAAAACTGCTTCCATAAAGTGGCCTTACTGCTCTTATATGAAACATAGCCTATAGATAGTTGGAAAAGAATCAATAAACGCAAGTAAACAGAAAAAAAACTTACTTTATGAAAAAAAAACTTCAAATTTCGAGCAAAAAAATACCCTTAGACTCCTCTAAAATACTAAAAATCATAAAATTGACACTTTTTGCTTTTTTTGATAAAGTTAAACAAAGTTGAGAAAACTGGATCAATAAGTAAAATTGGTATTTCGTTGTGAAGTCTGAAAATTAAGTTCTACTTTTGATATTAGAAATCAATCAAGTATTTCCTGAGTGTTACACTTTTTGCTGTTCGATAATAGAGTTCAACTTATTTTTAAGGAAATGACCCGAAATTCAAAAGGTCAAACCTCGAATTCAAAGAGTTTGAACGACCTATAAAAGATTCTGAACGTCAATGCAACGCAAAATACAACGCAATTAACAACTGGGGGGTTAACTTGGGGAGGAAGTTATTTTGCACAAATGAAAGAAGAGTAAACTGGTAAAAGGGGTGAAGGTAAATAGAGAAAAATGAGTAGCACGAGGATTTGGACAGCATTTGGACCCGTGACGAGCGCATTCTAATGCCTCCGGCTCGCATCGGAGGGGTCCTTTGGGATATGATAGATTGCGACAAAGAATATCAATAACTAATATTTGAGCCAAATCCGACGGTTGAACAGGAAGTTATTAGCATTTGGGAAAAACACCCCTTAGACCGGAAAAGGGCAATATACAGGCAAATATTAGTTTCAGTTTAGCTAGGTGAATGAGGCATTAATAGAAACTCAATCAGACTAAAGAAAAGTAGTTTTAGAGGAAATTGGCAGGAATAGGAGCGTAGCATGGAAGTAGGTCTCCTAAATAACATGAACTCATAATTGCCTAGCTGGCCGGTGGTGAATTTGGGCACAATTGCAGCCCAATAAACCAATTACGTTCCCCTACTAGCTAGTAAGTCGGGATTGGATTAGAGTGGAGATCGGAATTTTAGATGCTTGGAATGAGTTAGCTACCGATGATAAGATTGTTCCCCTACCTATAACGTAGTTTAGAGTTGAAATTAGACTTGCCATTTGCACAACTTAGTTGGAGATACTTATGATGAACTTCGCATTCATAACTATAGTCGTCAGTGAAAGTCTTCAGTTAGCACGCTTCGTAAGAGAATAGGCAGTGCCCTTCTCCCGTCTACCGAAGTAAATGTCCGGACAAATAGGGACGATAATAACCCTAATTTTTACTATAACTCAAATAGAAAACATACACTAAGGAGCAAAAGTAAGCGAAAAATCGGAATTTTTGTCTCTAAAATCCCCACTTTCAAGGTCCATTTAAGACAATATTTCTATCAAAACTTAGTAATTTTTTAACATGGATCAAGGACAAACAATCAGAGCTACCGTCCTGTATATGAAAAAAAATTGATTCTAAAGACTTACCAGTGTTTGATGGGTCTGAAAAAGCTAGTTTTAGCAATCAGCACTAAGATTTTCAAAACGCGTGAATATGTTAGAAATATGTAAGAAACAGCTGAATTTAGTAAAGTTGTCACACTGAAAAATTTCATTTTATTGCTCAGAAATTTTCATGATTCATGAACAACTTTTATTTTCGGGTTATTCGAGAAGAAGTTCACTCCGATGCAAAACTTGGAGCAGATGATGAAAACAGGCACATTTTTATGCCCAGAAAACTTTGGTAAGATTTTGAAACTAAGTTTTGTTCATTTCATAGAGGGTAGCTCTGATCATTTTCTCTTGGTCTACGAATAAATTTTGTCTCAATTCCCAGTAAATTTTGTCCAAAATCAACCTTGAAAACAGATATTTTAAAGGGAAAAACCTGATTTTGCTTTAATTTTGTCCACTAGTGTAAAAGACATTTAGAAACAGCCTACCTTTAGGCGGAACAGGAATTGCTATTGAGTCAAATAGTGGGTTCTCAAAATTAGAGATAACAGATTCTGATGCCCAGATGGAAGGAAAACGCCCAGTTGAGTGACTCTGTGTCTCAGTGAGTGAATTAGCGCAATATTGAACTTGGCTGACCCGAATTTAGATTCCGGGTAATTGCAAATGGAATAGTTACGCAGGTACCAATTGTTAGTTAATTAGTTTATTTGATTGAATCCGAGCTTAGCACCGGGCTGAGTTAGTTCCCTAGTGTTAGTGTCCCCCGCTATTACAAATTGAATTTCTACATCATCGATTTTTATCCATGAAACTCGTTTGCGGGGTATAAGTCACAAACCTAACCTAATTGCTCATCGGCCTCGCGCAACATTTTTCTACCTGGGGGAATTGAATGGAGTTGATTGAGCACTGTTCGATTGACATCCCTCTAGCGAATCGGAGCCAGTAGAGTAGCCAGAATTGGTCCTTAAATCAATCGGCTCATCTGTTTCATCCATTATGTCGTCTAAATCTATATTCGATTCAATGCACATCGGATGAGCAAAACCATTTGTCATAGATGTTCTACGTATGCAGTCTGACACCTGATTCCGCATTAGATTGTGGCTATAGCCGACGGCCTCTTGAGCCGAAACCAGTTTTGCCAGTTGGCTGCTGGCGTCCAGTTGATCAGTTCTCGTCAAATTCGTGGTCGTACACTCTTGGTGCACAGTTTCAACTAGAATGTAATTTGCAATTAGTCTTGAACATATTTTCAAACAGCATTATAAAAAAAAAAGATTTTAAAAAATGATTATATTTGTTGAACATTTAGAATGATGAAATTAACATAAAATTACACCAAAATTCAAATCTTCAATTTAAATATTTTATATTCGTCTTACCCCTCTCGGCACGCGTTTGTGGATTAAGGCAAGGATAACATGGATCTGTCATATTTTTTACTTCAAGGTCGTTAGTCTTAGTAACCGTTAAGTCCAATGCAAAACTATTGGTCCGATGTTCGTCTCGCAGCGGTCGCCGAAAGTTCTGAGTTTCATTTGCACCTGATTCAGCAAAATTCGGATTGAACATTTTAAACTCGTTCGGGACCCGGTTAGAATCTTTATTTGCATAGTTATCAGTTGATCTCGAGGAATTGTGGGCTCCAAGAAAATGGTTGAATTGTTTGTATAATGAGGCGGGAAACCCGTTAGGAGGACATTTTGAATTTATTTGCTCGTAAATGCTACTTTTTGACGAGGAAGGTTGAACCGAAGCGCTTGTCGAGTTTAAATGGTTAAACTTGTCCATGAATACTTCTTGCTGTACTGAATAGCTGATTGACGATTTAATGCTCCGATTATGAAGCTTATTGCAATTAGTGCAAGTAGACCAGGCGCAGTTATCTTTCTCGACGGAACGTTTGCAAACTAGACATTTGATTCCCCCATTGTGCAGATTTAACGTGAGGAGTACTTCATTTTCGAAAGAAAATTCTTCTGATTGAGGGGTAATCATCTGGCAAAAATTTTTTGCAAAATCCCAAAAAGGTTTAGCCTCTTGAATCAATGGACAAAATAAAAAATCTTAGGAGTTAGATGATTTGTTATAGTGTTTTTAGTAAGAAATTTGCAGCAAATAATTGTTTATCGATTCAAAAAAAAAATACATAAAAATGAAAGTATTTTAGAAATTTGGTGAGTAAGTTTCACCTGTTTCCAGAACAAAAACTTGCAGTTTCATATTTTGTCCACTAGTATAGGCGTCACCAAAAGTCGTTTCAATATGGCAGATGAGCCTAAATTTTGTTCACAAACGTCAGAAGTCATTTATTTTGATTTCAAAGTGCGCTAACAAAGTATTAACGACTTGGAGCATGAACAGAAAATAACATATGAAGGTCATCATGCTGAAAAGCTGAACCCTTGAAACGCCCAATAATGAAAAGTTTTTATATGATAGCAAGGGTAAAATTGCAGCAAAAATTTTGAGCCTTCAAAAAAAATAAAGAAATGGTTTCTTTCAAACGTATCGCCTTTTGACAGAATACAGTGCTGATTTAAATTATCCGGACGAAACGAACAAAACTTGAATTTTCAAACGCGGTTTTCTTAAATTGGGTTAAGATTAGACAAAAAGTGAAGAGGACAAAAGTTGCTTAGAATTTCACCAGAATTGATATGGTGCCATTTTTTCTCCGGAATTCTCAACAAAAATTTTACCCCAAAAATGGGTCATTTTGGCTTTTTTCAAATAATCAAGAATTACGCTGAAACTACTTTGTTAATTGATATGAAAATTATATCACAGGAAGCTTCTTACGCAGGTCAACAAAGTTTAACAGGGGTTAAATCTCCAAACATTTGCGCAAATTGTTTAAAATTTATTTTTAAACAGAGATTCTGGGTTTTATATAGTAAAAATCACATTTATTGACTATCAAGTGAAATTTTTTTCTCTTATACTAGTTTTTGGAGATTTAACCCTTCTTAAACTTTGTTGAGCTGCGTATGAAACTTCCTGTGATATAATTTTCATATCAATTAACAAAGTAGTTTCAGCGTAATTCTTGATTAATTGAAAAAAGCCAAATTGACCCATTTTTGGGGTAAAATTTTTGTTGAGAATTTCGGAGAAAAAATGGCACCATATTATTGCTGGTGAACTTCTAAGCAACTTTTGTCTTCTTCACTTTTTGTCTAATCTTAACCCAATTTAAGAAAAACGCGTCTGAAAATTCAAGTTTTGTTCGTTTTGTCCGGATAATTTAAATCAGCACTGTAGTGTCGTGCGCAAGATGTTTCATAGACAAAACATTCAAAACGTTTGGATGCTTTTAGACAGATGTTTGATTTTCTAAACAATCTCAAAATCCGAAAATGGAACCGTTTTTTGCGTGTTTTTTTTTCGTTGTTGGAGGTCTCCGACCCAAAGCATATTATCCGATAAAAAAAATAATTCATCTGAAATTTTTTTGATCATTCTTAAGAGATCGGTATGAAGTTTTTTTTATTGATAACAAAAGCTGATTGGATGGTTGATAGTATAAGCCGAAAGGTGTCAGATTAAAAAGTATCACGCGAATCATTTCTAGCAAAGTATTCAAAAAAATATCATTTCAAGAGATTAAAATTATCATTTGAAAAGCTTTATTTCAAGTAAAATCTGATATATAGTGAGTGTTCTGACAATGAAGTGACAAAGAATCTTCCATCCGTCTGTATTTTTCCAACGCAAAAACAATTACGTACAAAGCAAAAGCAGAAAAACATGAACAAGACGATATTCAATCTATTATAAGTAGTGAAAATTTTTTAGTAGTAGTGATTTTTTATTAGTCAAAATATAATATAAAACTCCCAAAACGTTTCGACTTGTCAAGAAAAAAACTATCTGAAGCTTTTGCTTTTGAGAGCAAATAGAGTGAAGATGATTTTAGGTGCAGAAAGGCATTTAAAGCATTAATGAATTTGAAAAAAGTCAGCTTAAAAAAAGTTTTTATGGTTAATTAGGCAGCTAATAACTAGTTTATGACGCTAGTGTCCATGAAACTTCTGTCATTGTCCTGTAAATTTGAGTACTTTCTTAACGCAAAAAAAAACTTCACAAAACAAGTGAAACACTCCCGTCCAAGACTGCTCGCATCAGAGCGAAGCACTGAACGTTCTGTCTGACCTTCGAGCTCTTCGGAATAGTGTTCGCTTTGAAACATTGAAAAAATTTTGAAATTTGTAAGAATTTTTTTTCGAAAACAATCCCCCTACGCGCGATGTAATGTACAAAAAATATGTTTGGCAATAAACGAAGTCTCAAATAAACCGCGGTCTATTTTGTGTTATTGATGGTCAAATTGACAAGGTTTTACTTTACGCAAAATTGTTACATGAGAAACATCTTTTTGAATTAGATTTCAGAACAACAATAATATTCTGATGGTATAAAAAATTGTCAAAAAAGGCTTTTAAAAAGTCGAAATTTGTTCTGGAGAAAAAAAACCACCTCGATGTTTTTCGTTCTTTTTTGTTCTTTCAAGGAAACTGGCATAGGGTTCGTTTTATTTGTTCCAGCTAATTCCGACAACCTCAACAAAAATTCATAGGCGATCAAATCTGATATCATAAAAAAATTCATTGGTTGTGATTCGTATATAAAAATAAAATTGAATTAATTATGTTTCTAGAACAGCTGGTCTAAAATTTGCTTCGACTACAAGATCGAAATAAGTTTACTGCCCTTTTTTTCATTTTTCAAGTAAATTTTTCGCCCTTTCTGGTAGAAAAATATAAGGGAAATTTGTACAATTAGAATTGTAGCGTGATGCATTTATTTTTATTTTTTTTTTTATATTTCTTACTTTATGAAAATTTTTGAATGGAACAGCAATCAGCTTTACTTGATTAGAGCTATCAAAACACTCTATCTGTCAGCTGCTATAGGTGCTCTTTCACTTTATGGAGCAAATTGGTGGCTGATCATCAAGAAATGTGTGTATACTGCTTTAACATAGAACATGAGGGCCAAAAAAAAATTGCAAAACAAATTATCACAGAGAGGACAAACAAACAGACTACACTGAATCAAATTTTCATTTTATCAAAAACAGGATGCGAAAACCATTCAGTTGAATTATCAAACTGTATTGAAATTCCCGAAATCATTCAATCTGTGATGCGTAATATGGTCAAAATAGATGTTAAATAATTGACTTAGTTACAATAAATCTATAAAGACAGAGGCAAAGTGGAGCTTTGCATCACTTGCAATACAACACAAACAAATAAAAAAACTTAAAAAATCGAAGAAAAAAAATGAGAATTGTTGAAAAAAACTATACGAAGTTTAAAGCACAAGAAAAACCCGTGATGAGTCATCTGCGCCGACACCAAAACATGGGCCGACGGGACTCGAACCCAAGAACTTCACTGCAGTACCTTCACGCCATGATTTTGCTGACTTGTAAAAAAATTTTTAAAAAATAAAAACCATGCTCTTAACTCAGTTTCGAACGCTATAAATTGATGCTCATGCGTGTTATAAAAACGCAATTTATGGAGCGTAAATTTTCCCAAATGGGGCCAAATTAGCTTGTTTTCAAATCCCGATAACTTAGCGAAACATGCTCACAGGTGAATTTTTTTCAAAAATAACTTGCTAAAGAATCGAAATTTTACTGAATAAAAAACGGACCCAAAAATAATTTTTCCTTTTTTTCAATATGATAATTATTTTGTAGAAAAAGTTGAAGAGACTGCTCCTTTGAATAAAATGTTGCCCTGAAAAAAATTCAACGTGAGACAAAAATTGTGATGAGTCTAAGCTTTTTTTAAATTTTTAGGCCTGTTGATTTTACCTTCATTTTCGCAAAATTATTAAGCTCTGATTGTTGAATTGAAACTATTGATTTTGTCATATGAAAAAATAAACTTTGAAACATTAATATCAAATTATATAGCATTTCCGACAGCAGTGAAATCTTTTTGATACACCTTAGAAAGCGTGAAATACTTCTACATATATATTTTCTAGAAAATTCTAGATTCATCTAGGTTACTGCAGAGTTCCCTGGATTGGCACTAGATACGCTATGTGCTCCCAAATTCAGTTCGGTTCTTGATTGGTTTGCAAACTGGTACACCACAAGCAAGCAATCCTTGCACAATTCGACTGCTATTTTACAGCAACCCATTTCTACGTTCGATAACATCTCGCCGCCACTTCTAAAAACGGTCTCCCAAGGGGCAGGGCCACGAGTTGTATGGTTCAAACAAGACCATAACCCTTGGCCATGAGACCATAACATCCTGTTGAATACTTTATTTAGACACTTGGTCACGTTTAATTTATCGATATCTTCGTTTTCGTGAAATCGCTGGACTATTGATCGCACGTTGTTACGAACTATGTCTACGACTTTCTGTCGTTTCACCGAATCGAGTTTAACGAGCCAATACGAAGCAACACGAGGCTTGTGATAGCGCCAGTTATCCAAAATTGAGTTCAAAATCTCGTTCGCTTCTTCGTCACTTTTTCCTGGGAATTTGATATTCAACTCACTCAATGCTTCGTAAAGTTGGATTAAATCAGAATCGTCTTTCTTTCGCTTACTTGGAGGTAAACTACGATTGCTTTCGAACCGAAGCGAGCTCAAACTTCGAGTCGATGAGCGGGAGATTAAAGTCGGCCTTTCAACTTTGCGTGACTTGCTTAACTGCGAGCTCTGTTTGGGTCTTTTATTTATACTCTTTTTCTCGATCAGGGAGGAATTCGTTTCCGAGTTGCGGTGGAAACCATGTGATTTCATGTCGTGGCTTGTAATTGTAGTGTCGTTTCTGTTCGTGTCGTTGTTGTCGGTGGCGTCGGAGTTGTCGTCGTCTTCGTCGCTCTCGTCGGAAGAGTTGTCTTCCTCAGTTCCTCCCCCCTTGCGACTGTAGTGGCGCATAGGGGACGCTGAGCTTGGCATTGATGACAGGGGTTTGGGTACGAGGGGTTTTCGGTACCCTGAATTGAACGTTGACATGTCACCTCCTGAAGTGTAGAAAAAAAATCAATAAAATAAAATAAAATAAAAGCCATTATTGAAAAATTTTGCAATTTGAAATTTTTAATGCTTTAAGCCTGAGAACGATAAATTTAAACTCAATCCTAAAGAGTTTCAGAGCTCACTCAAAATGCAGAAAATTTATGGCGCGAAATACCACGCAGCCACCAACCACATCATTTTTTCCAGGTCGAAATTTTAAGTTATTTCTAATTAAGGTTTCTGCGATTATTCTATAAAAGGCGATCAGGTCTGTCTATAAGCTTAGTGTCTCTATTTTCCACCACATTCCAGACTGTGTTACTGTGACGAGTGACTCAAGTCCGTATTTTGCAAACCGTTGTTATTGATTTTAAAAAAATGGCTCTTTTCCAGTTTCCCCCCTTTCAAATTCAATTTTGAAAAGCCTATTTAACGTTGTCACAATGCAATGAAATTTGGCGCGGTGAACAAATCGACAATTCTGAACAGATTTGTTCTTCATACTTTACAGCGTAACATCACGCATTTAGCCGTAATAACACGTAAAAGAAATATAAAACTCGTTATTTTGAAAGGGGGGAAACTGGAAAAGAGCCAAAAAATCAATTGAGCAACCTCCCCCGCGACCAACCTCCCCCGGCTTACGATTTCAAAAATTTTGAAATCGTAAGCCAGGTTCTCCAACGAATGTGAAACACCAAAATTTACAAAATTAAAAGTCAACAATTACTTTCAGAATTAAACAGTTACTAAAAGTGATGCACATAAAGCCGAATTTTTTGCCTTAAAGAAAAAAATGCACTTCCGAACATTTTAGGGTGATGCAGAGAACGTTAAGTGAATTTGAGATTGCAAAAAAAACTAATCTACTTAACAATGCCCCCTTTGACATGAAGAAAAGAACCTCCCCCCTTTGGTATCAACTAAAGCACCTCCAAAGCTCTAGATAAAAAGGTTATTTAGTGCTAAAACTTTCTATTGAGAAGCCTAATTTTGCTTCACTCGAAGAGGAGAGGCGTTAGGAGATTGTTAAGTATAGATTTAAAAATATCGGTTAGATAAGTTAAAACCCCAATTAAAAAATTTTGTACATAAACAAATTTGTATAATTATATGTAACTTGTACATAATATAATTTGAACATATCAAACTCTTTTGAAAAAAAATCAAGAATGTAAGAGAAGACATTTTCTATGCACTGCTCTATGAGCATCTGTGTGCTCTTTAGTGCTTCGAAAGATGTTGCGACAACCCGTCGACCGCAGTCTTACCCTCTTCGCACTCGCACTGTTCGATCAGGTCAAGTAAGTCTGCTTCGTGGTGTGGGTTCTTGTAGTTGGAGATGACCTCCTTCTGCAGTTGACCCGCCCTGCCCGCCAGCAGAATGTCAAATCCCTTGCTCAGGATCCCTAAAAAAGTTATCTATTTTTTTTTGTTATACAACCCCATAAAAACAAATAACGCAGAAAGGAACTGAACCACTGCAAAAAAAAATTCAGCTATGAAGTTGGCAATGGAGTTTGACCAAAGCTACTTCAAATAAACTCTTCATGGAGTATAAGAGATTACAATCTTTTGGAAGTTATCGCGATTAAATTCAATTTTATTTTAAGATATTGTTTTTTGAAACTACGCTACACGATCACAATTGATTATAAATCCTATGAAGACCTAATTTTGGTAGTTTTTATAATATAATTGTCAAAAAAATCAACATAATTATCCGATATAATCGATTTGCTAAGTGTAAATTTGGATGCGGTAAATAGCTAAGTTTTAAGCTAGAAAAGGAATTGTGAGCTCATAAAATTATTACCAATGTATTTCTCGAGCTGCATTCGATCGTCAATTGGGAAGATTTTTCGGAACTTTCCAAGATTTTTTGACTCGTATTCTTGACGCATGGATTCTCGTCTCAAAGCTGCTAGTTGAATTTGCAGCTGCTCTTTCTTGCGCACTTTCGCCGCTTTGCTTTTGTCCCACTGTTCAATGGCCAGCCTTCTGTGACCATTAAAAAGCCTGCGTTGGCTTTCCATCTTCTGATTGGTCAAACATCGTTTTTTATCCGATGCCCTGACACGTAACAACTTAAATGTCTGTTGCAAAAGTGCACTTTTAATATTAAGATCAATCTTTTCATTCGTTCCAAAACTGGGAGATCTGTTGATTTCCAGAAGCCACGGCTTACCTTTCCGGTCGAGAAAAATATCGAAACCCAAAATTTCAAAGCAAGTGCTATCCGCTAAAGGCGAAACACCTGGGCGACACATACGATATTGGTGTATTAAGTGGGGCTCAGCAACTATTAAAGTTTTAACAATAACATCGGCAATTTCTCGCCAGACTTTTTGCACGTCGTAACTTCCATTTGCAAGCCACTCATTCAGAAACTCAAAATTCCGTTTGCTACCTTTACTTTCGTCCTCGTCTTTTTCATAATTGGCACTGAATTTATTCACCGAGTAGTTTGTCAAATGCATGTAGAGCTCGTCGATGTTTTGTTCGCTCGGTGCAACATACGTTTTAGTACTTATTCTAACTAATCCGTCTTTAAAAAGAAAAACTTTCAGTGGATCACAGGAAGTTACCAAAACGTAAACTCGCATGTCAAATTTGAAACCCTCAATAAGCATGGGTTTATCAAGATACTCCTGTACGATATAGTTTTCGTCCAATGGCGCTTTTTCGGCTGATCTGAACAACCGGATTCCGTTTCCCATAGCACCGTTTGAAGGTTTGGCAATGAAAGTTTTGGTTTTCTTTCGTTTTTTACTGCTTTCTTTGGCGTAGTTTAAAAAAGTGTTTGCATCCTGGGGCATAGTCCAAGTTTTAGGCACAAAGTCATAATCACTTGGAAAAATTTTCTGTATTTTCATCATGTTCTTAGCCAATGCGTCTTTCCGACATATCTCTCCCATACCTGGGAAATGATTGATTTTCTGGTATGGCTTCATTTCCGAAATCCTTTCATTGGGAACCGCAAGATCGCTCCAGTACAAAAGGCAGTTCGGGTCGTCTCGTTCATCACGGATTGTGGCGAACCCGCAGTGTTCTAAGGACTCCCGAACACACTCGTAACGAGTTCCAGCAATGTTAGCGAGTAAACCTTTTTTGCTCTTCTTTTTACTAGATTTCCCGCTTCCAGTACTAGGTGCTGACTTCGGCGCTTCGGATAGACTCTGTTGAGTCAATGATGTCGACGTCTCGGTTGGCCGGGATAGAGAAACCGAACGTTTGGTTCCGTTGCTACTGCTGCTACTCGGCTTAATGCTACCTGTATCTTTGTCGTGAGGTGATGTTTTCGGCGACCGACTGTGCTGTGTTCCCGAAGCTTCAGAGGAGCAGTACTCGGATCCACCATTGTTCAGATTAGTTTTAGAGACTACTTTGACCGGTTTGGAGGCAGAAATTTCGTCCCGGGGAGCCATTTAGCTTAATGCACTCTCAAACACTGCTGCAATACGACTAATTCCATAAACTTGCCTTAATAGCAGAATTGTTCATAAATGTTTGAACTGACACGTGCTGAACAAATAAACATTTCATCCTCTTCCATATTGCATTTTTTGTTTTTCCTGGGATATTGTGGCGCTAAAATTACTCTCTCGAAGTGATGATGAATAATTCAAACTGGATAAGACGTTCAGTTGAAGTTTTCTGGCAGAATGTTTTTTTAATTGAATAGGTAAAATGGTGTGTTACAAGGAAAAGAGCAAATTTGAACCGCCGCAGTTCAATCTAAACAAAATCAGTTGTTATGCAACAGAAAACAGATAAACAAATATTACGTCAGGAAAAAGAATCAGAAGTAGAATGTTCGCAGAAAATCATTTTTCTGTTTTCTGCTAATTTTTCCAGACAGCTTATGAGTTTCAGGGAATATTAGTCCATTATTATAAAGCAGACTTTTTATACATTTTATACAATTTTTTTTCAATTGCATATACCAAGATTAATATTTTAATCTTACACTCAGATGGTTTTATATAATCTCAGCTGAACATAAATGTTGAGTAAATTTTTACATTACAGTCATTTTTATTTACAAGACAACAATGGCGTCTGTCAAGAGACTTGAAAAAAACTCAATGGCTATTTTTACAAATTTTCATCTTGAAACGTCATCAAGTTTACTATAGATTAAATGTTGACTTTAATTAACTCTGTAGTTTGTTTTTGAAACGAATTTCTGTTGTTTTCAAGCAACCAAGCCAAAGCTGAAAAGTTCTTTTGGATTTTGTGTATCTGAGCGGAAATCTGAGCGGATATACTTACCAATCTCCTCCCCCCCCATGATTTCTACTGAGAAAATTGACCCCAAAAACAAATAGATAAATTACCACTAGAGCTTTCTATTGAGAATTTCAATTTTGCTGCATTCTGTATTCTGATTGGTCGAAATTTCGGCTAACTTGATCCACTTAACAGTCTCCCTCTTTCTTGAGAAGGGGGATAATGTTAAGAAGGTCCATCTGGGCATAGATCCCAAATTTTTCAACTAAATATCTAGTTCGGTTCAAAATTCAAAATTTTTAAAGATGCTAGTTCCCTCATTAGTTCGCTCATCTTTTAAGCGCATATCTTAAGATAAAACCATTTTAAGGAATTATATTTGGCCCATGTGAAGGATATCCCCCTAAAATGAATTAGGGGGAGATAGTTCACTTGGCCCTTCGATTCGAACACATTTTCTATTATACTGGTTTGTTATCGACTTTTTCTCCTTGATGGTTTCCAGATGATCTGGATGGTTTTTAAACAGACCAGTTTCTGAAAAACAAATGCAGTGAAGGAATCGAACTTGGAATCTACCTGTTCGCTTTCGTATGAGAAAAAAACACTGTACTAAATGTGCTTTGCGCCTACTGTGTTAGAACCGATGTGGGTAGCTCATAGAGTAATTTCGGATAGGGTACACCGTCTGCTCGTCACGCTATCTTATTTTCGGACGGATAGATTCGTGCAACTTCTTAGTCTAATACCGATCCTAATCTTACTCTTATACTTACTAGTCTTAGGGTGTTTAACTAGTCTCTGCTAGGCTCAATAGATCTAGGGTATACTGGTTTATTGCGGCTGCTGAAGTTCTCTTGGATAGGCAACTAATTTCTAAGTTAAATTCAAATCTCTCTGGTGCTGAAATTACAAGTAATTTCAGCACTTACAAATAAGTGGGTTGTTAGTTAGATGGATTATGATTGGTTATTATTAAACATTTTACAGCGGTAAAACATTTAATTTATCCAATCATAAAATGTAGTTTAGATCAGGTTCCACCCATCCGGGCTTTACAGAGTTTTTTAGAATTATCTTTCTGCAATTCAAAGGATGGATGATGAACGTTGGTATTTGGCGAACATCATATTCCTGTCCGGTTCCTCTTGTTAAGGAAGTTCCAGGATGCTGGAGTTAGGGACATACAATCGTTGCGTCGTCCTGTGACAACGACTGTGATCCCCAATGAAATCAATCTGATTTCCAAATGACTTGCTATGACGGGTTTTTCTGTATTCTGTAGAGAACTTGTTTTGTGTTCAACCTCGTCTGGGAATGGCGTGGAGATCGTGTGTGGAAGGGATGCCTCGTAACTCGGATCTGTACGTATACTTGAACATCGAGGTGGTTATTGGTCTAGTTCAATGAAGTCCTTTTCTGCGAAGTCAAGTCGTACTCTAAATCCTTTAAGTTGTGATTTTGGACGGCATATCGGTTGTGATTAGCCATTTTTTGTTCGAGTGTGATGGGTTCATCTAGTCTTTGGATGTTCGTCTTTGTTGTTGTGTGTTGATCTATATACTGCAAAGTATAATTTACATTATATAAAATCAGGTTAGTTCGGTTTTTTAATCATGAATTTAGTTAGTTGTTTTCTCAAAAGCGTTTTGTTTTAGTTCGGTTATTTTGAAGAGTTACTCACCCTTGAGTACCTCTTATTAAAAATAGAAGTGTGGTCACAAAGCGTGGATGTAGCGCGGTGGGTTAGGCCGGCTATAGAGCATGCCCAGGACGTCCTCTCTGGTGGGTTAGGCCAGTGGTGCGAGTATGATTTCGTGCTGTATCTTCGAGAGGTCCTGTTATGTGATAACGTTTTATGTTGGGTTTATGTTGGTCTTTCTTATGTTACTTTGGTTGTGTCCTTTTTTCAAAAGTCAAACTGTTTTTGGTATGGGTTTGTCTTGCGACTTTTTTGTGTTTTATTATTTCTTTCTTAGACTTTATAATAGTCTTCAAAAGAATAAATTATCCCGTTTTAAACTGGGTTAATCCGGTTTGGGTACCGTTGGTTTTCTTTTCTTAGTCATGCTGTTTTTTTTATGATTTGTGGTGTTTAGTAAGCTGCGTTGGTTAGTTTGGTTTAGTATATAATTCCTTTCCAACCGGGTAAAAGGAAAGTTTGAAACTTGTTATCGTGTGTTAGAGTTGTTGAGTGTGAAAACTTGAAACTTAAAATCATTATTTAAACAATTCTTCGTGGGCGAGTTTGGATAGAATTCCTGTGCGATTGAATAAAAATATCAAAAGGTTAGTACTGCATTTTCATTTTATTAATTTATTACATAGAATTTTAATTTTACTGCATTTGAGGGAAATTTTAAAGTTATAAATTTTCATCGTATTGAACTTTACTGTTTCATGGGAAAATATTTTATAGATTATTTTACTACATTTGGTATGAATTTTATTACATTATTTAGTGCAAGATATTAATAAATTTTAGAAGAATTTTAACAAGTTAATTTTTTTATTTTTCTTTTCTGTTTTGTAGATGATCGTGGTGTGAAGACTAGAAATATAAATCAAACATTGATAGAAAATGGTTAGTACTAATTTAAATTTATTAGTGAAGAGTATTTTAAATTATACTTACCTGTTAATCATCTGGGAAAAAGCCGTGGGGGAAGATGTCGTGTATCATATCTGATGTTGTTAGTAATTTGGCTAGTATGCGAATGATGTTTTTAGTTTGGAGCAGTGGCCAAAGCAATTGAAGTGCTTTAATGATTTTTAGTTCTTCGGTGCGTACTGCAAACTCGTAAGGTGTGTGTTGAAGGAGGTTATATATTTTGTGATTATATTTAGTATTGTGAATGAATTCTAATATTGGTATTTCTATAGGCTGGATAAATTCATGCGGGATAAGGAAGGGTCTGGATTCTTCTGCGTTAAAGATCTTCGTGATGGGACAAAATATATACATTTGTGTTACTGGGTCATATTTGCGGAGGATGCCGTGGAGGTTAGTATCTTTGATGCAAAAAGTGAAATTATGGAAAAATGGTGATGTGTATTTTGAGTTAAGAAACTGAAAACGATGGTGTGTTTGTCTTGATGGGGTATGCAAATCAAAATGATTTTGTATGAAACGATAGTATGTATATGTGCGAGTTTGTTTAGTGCGTAACATAATATCGTGGGAACAGTGCAAATCGCGTTCATGTGGTGCAAGGAAGTGAAAGGTTAGTGAAAATAACTGAAACTTGTCTGTGAAACTTTCGTAAGCTTGAATATCATTTAGTGCTTCAGAAATGATGTGATCATATTTTCTATCAAAAATATTAAGTGTGAATACATATGATGTTTTGATGAAAAATTTTTTTGTTAGTTGTGGGTTAGCGAAGCGATCTTCATCTAAAAATTGGTCTTGATTAGTTCGGATGATTTTATGTTCGTAATATTCTAATGTAAATTCGTTAGCTCGGGGTGCAGTGAATGTTTTTAGTAATTTTTTATATGCTACATAAGTAAATTGTCTAGGTTTTAGTGTTGCGGTGAGTCTATATAACATATTTTTGTTCTTTTCTATGTCGTCATGAGTACTAGATAGTGGTAGGCAAAGGGGATTAGTAAAATGATAATAAGCTTTCCAATGAAGTGTGGGCATTGAAACATGTTCATCTACGAAACTTCGTGTGTCATTAGTGTCGTTAGGTGTATTTAATGTATGTTGTGGAAATGAGGGTAAGGTGATTGCTAGAAAATCTTTCGTGTTGGTGTGTTGTGGGTGATTAATATATTCGCAGGCTGTTCCTGGTTTGGTCGGGAAAGGATGATTCGGGAATTTTCTTTTAAAAGTGCGATAAGCTCGGTTAGTGCTACTATGTGTTTCGGTGGATGTGGATGATTGTGCTAATGATGCAGTGTAAGCTGAGGAGGGTGTAGGAGTAGATGGGTTTGAGGATTCTATTGTGGATGAAAGTTGATGTATTGTGAGGGTGTTAGGGTGTATTAACTGTTGTTGTAGGGTAATAAAATTATCGAGTTCCTGGGAAATTTGGGGGGTATCTGGAGAATTATTATATGATCGGTCTGAATGAAGTGGGGAATCGGTTGGGGTCACTTGCGAAGCATAAGAAGGAGTGGAAACGGATGGGAGTGAATTATTTGTCGGGATTGGTTGAAAAGGGAGTTTTGAAAAAACTGAGGAGTTGGTTTGAAAATTATTTGATGGAGATGGTTCGGAATCTGCAAATTCGTCAGGGGTTTCTATATTAGGGTTATTAAGTTGTGAGATAGAGTATAAAACTGAAAAATCTGAGTTAGTATCCGAATTCGTGCTTGATGATATATTAATAATTGGAAAATCGGGTGGTGGGAAAGCAAAAAGTGGGATTATTGGGATTGGAGTTTGGAGGTTGGCTGGGTGGGAATTTGAGAGGTGTAGGGATCCACGTTGTCGGCTCATCGTGGACTAAAAAAAATGATTATTTTGAGACTGAAAAGTGGTGGTATGGGGTTGTTCTATAATTTGTTCGTATGTATTATCATCTTGTGAATGATGTGTCATAATGTGTTGGATGGGACTTTGTGGTATATTTGGTCTAGAATTTGGATTATTTGTGATTGCTAGGTTTCGGAAGTTACGTGGGACTAATGACAATGGATGGTTTTGTGGTAGGGGTGGCAACTGTGGTGCGGTAGGTGTTACTTCTATATTATTTTGTTCTTCGTCGTAAGTGTTCTGTCTTGTCGCTATTTTTTTGTTATATTCTTTTATTTGTGCGTCTAGAATTATTTTGTTTATTGATGATGAAAAAATTCCAAAAAATCCTGCGAACAGTATG